TCTATGTGGACGGAGCATACTTCCTCAATGTTTGCATCAGCTGTCTAAGATTGGCAGATAATCGAGCCAAAAAACCAACCACTTTGGCTTCAAGCAAAACTGACAGTGAGCATGCATAAGGGCGTAAACGCGATGATCGATTCTCTTCATCGATTTTCTCTTTACATTACTACAGCTTAGTGAAACAATTTTCAGGAATTTGTTCTATGTAGTGCTGTAACAAGTTGTATTGGCTATCAATTGCAACAGCAAACGTACCGCGAAACGTTAATCCAAGCGAGTTATTAACAAAAGAGAATCGATCATCGCGTTTACGCTCTTATGCATGCTCGCTATCGAAATGTTGGTGGATGTTTTTATTTAAGATAATTCGACAAAATCACTGATATAATGATTTACTACAGCCGTTAATTTTTTTCCTCGCTAAAAGTCATTTGAAGTTGATGCAGAAGTCCTCTGTTGCCAAGTTAAAAGAAAGGGAATGTATGTATGTATGTATGTAAGTAGCCACCATCCTAGCTTGGGTCTTGCCCTGCATGCGGCTCAACTCAACAGCAAGATCAAATTCCGTCATCATTCTGAATTCAACATACTGCTGTATGAAGGGCCAAAAAGGGTTGGACGGGCCCGTAAGCAGAGGCACTTACGCGAAACCCGCGGGAATAAGAGAATCTCCTTCCAACAATATGATCCAACAAAATGAATAACTAAATTCGCAATACATGTTAAGCTTTCCACGGGATGGTTTGTTTAAGAAGAGCGCGTCAAATTCATTGCAACTGTTGGAGTGAAATGTAACTATCTAAAATGACAGTACACATTCCCTCCTAGACTCCGGTTGGCACTCCACTCCATTGTCCAGTTACAACTTCAATGATGCCCTGATGCTCCCTCCCCTCCCAGTATTTATTGTAATTTACATTATGAATTTATATATAATCATGTAATATATAATGAATATAAAATATGTAGTAAATTTAAAAATAAAATAAAAAATAAAGATGTTTTACAAAATACAAATAACCTAGATTATTGGGTCCTATACACACACTTTTTGTTTTATGTGCCATGAAATGACATAATGCATCATTGTATGTTTTGAAAATATAATACTAAAGTATTGAATTAATAGACCGAAAATCGAGGTTATTTGGACATGAGACATTATATTTAAAAGGATACTACCAAACCGACCATCAAACGCACTGCCATTAAGAACAGACACGTCCCCTCGAAAATGCAATCGAGAAATGTACAAGAACAATCCTCAACTGGAACGTACTCACCAAATCAATATATCCCGGAGCGCATTCCCGATGTCGTCGAACGGCAAAAAAAGGGAATTTTCACTGAAAACAACCGCGAATTTCACCACCCAACTGTGAAACACGTTCAGAAGCACTTTTGGTACACTTTCAATATCAATTTCTTTCGAAAAAACTCAATTTTTTTTTTATTTGCAAAAATAGTTGCAAGTGAACCAACATCAACACCGATCGTGCCAAGCTCTTTCACGCACCTTGCACCGCGTACATAAACTGAAATGAAACATTATCACTCGCGATGCCACAAATATCTGGTCCGGGAGAAAAAAAATCAAACAACGCAGAAAGCGCCAAATCTTCTTATTCTTGCAAACATGATGAATCACGTTTTCTTTCTCGATTCTAAAACTTCCCAGAAAGCGAGAAAACCACCAATCACACACGTATAACCGTCCGGGAGGCAGAGTGCCAGCGCTAATCCCGCAAATGCAGCCGAAAACTATGAAAGCGAACGCACGCACAAAACAGAGAACAAACAGAACCGTATCCAAAGGGGTTCCGTGCGCGACTGCCAAGTTAAAAGAATAGGAATCTTTCGAAAACCGTGATGCGAGTTCAACTGTTTTTCTCTTGGCGTGACTCATTATACACCGACTCTAGTTTCTACCTGAGTGATGCGGAGAAACACGAAATGGTTGTCAAAAAGAATCCAACTGGTGCTGTCAAAAAGAATCCAACGATCGAGAGCTGCTAAAAAAGTGTTACTGTTCTAAAACAATTTCCGTCGGCAGAGGAAGTATTGTGGTCAATGTTAAAAATGTTGTCATTTAATTCAACAAAAAAGTCTTTATTTTTAATGCTCTTTGTTCAATAAATTTTTTTTTACACGTTTGTATTAACAGTACATAATATTTATTGATCACATTCAAATAAACATGCTTCGACTATCGTATTTAGTTTTTCGCATTTTCCATACTTTTTCCGCGTTTAATCTATGTCGTATCAACGATTTTATAAGACAGCTCTTCAATTCGTGGCAGTTTGGTAACATTACTGGGAAAGGAACAGAATGTAGGTATGTTGAAAACTCTTTCCCTGAATTTTCAATACCATCCTCTCTCAGCTGTGTATAACAGTAGTCCAACGTCGCATAGTAATAGAAGATTTGTTCTGAAGGATAATCACGTAGACTGTCTGTTGATTTTTGTAGCAAAATAGTATAGCGGCCAATTTCCAAATCAAAAGGAACTCGGGTTGTGCACATTGAAAGACATTCATTACACGCTTTATTAGTAATTAATGAATTTAGTAGTATATTTCTACAATTGTGAAACAGGGCACGATCTTGCGATGCAATAATAACATTTCCATAAGTAATAGAATCGCCTGAAGAGAAATCATAGCACTCGAAATTAAACAATACAACGAACAAACGAACTTTAACGAACTGCTGAAGGAAGAATGTAAACAAGCTTTGTAAGAGTCATGTGGGTAGGTGCACTCCCAACACCATGTACACGTTATTTATGGAGCAAAGGATAAACTTTTGACAGCATGTATATGCAATTTGAGAGCAGTGCATTAGCAAAACAATATGTTTCATCGGAAAATTTTCAAGTTGTTTCCTGCTGACTGTTCGCAATACCCAGGTTTCTACCACCGGAGTAGTACATTCGCGTCATGTGCCGCTCAAAAGTAAATGCTCCGAACGAATTTGAAGAAGGAAGGTTTGGATATTTTCTCATTTTTCTATTCATTACTATTAACAGCGCACAGTGAGACCGATTTTCAAAAAGACGGTGAAAACCCCTTTCTCACTATTTGGGAGCAACGCCATACATTTGAACCCTTACCCTATGGACTTATTTTGATTGAGGGGGAGATGAGATCGGTGGTCACTAATGCTCTCGTGAACCGATCGGATGGATGACGTCACCAGCATAGATCACTGATCAACCGTCGAGTGTTTAGGGTACAAATAGACAAGAATTCAAGCCAGTGGAGTGGATAGAGAATGTCTACGGTATCGGTTATGGGACCTTTTTACTATCGTTTTTAATTATTGTAGTTTGTCAATGTGAAAGTTCTGTAATATAGTTCGTTGTAAATATGGTTTTTTGTAACTTGATGTTTATATTCATCTGTGGTTTGTAGATGACCCAAATTCAGTAAGGGAATTTCCTCATCCCACCCCCGATGTTGGGACCCAAATTAAATATGCACCGGTTCAATAATCGTCGAAGCCAGAAAGCAAGGTAAAGGGCCCCAACATTTTGATTATAAGATTATTAGGATAAGACAGTCGGCTCTGACTCTTTAGGAGGAAGGTTGAAGAAGAGCCACTATGGTTTTTAATGTGTTATATTTATTAGGTGTAATGGACCTTGTAAATATGTGAATAAATTGTATGTTAATAGTATGACCTTGACATGGACATACATATATATATATATATGATGTGTGATTGAATGGACGAATGTGCTGTGTTGTAAAGAATGTGGATGGAAGTAGGTTGCTCCACTCACTTGCTATAAAAAAATATTTTGTACTTGTTAGTTTCAAAAAGAGATTGAAAGGCATGTGTTTGTTACATAAAACCAGTCAAATTCGCTTGCAGAGTGTCACAATCAGCAATGTTATGATTGGTGAGTGTTCACTCAGAGTGAGTGGAAGCAAGCCTGGATTGAAGGAACCTCAAAAGGAAGCCAATCAAAACGCCTACACCCGCTTCCATAAAAGCAACTGGAAATCCACCCTTGGTATGTCAGTGCTTTTTATTACCCCTTTGAACGGTGTTGGGAGGGGTCCGGCCACCCAACACTCACCTTTATCGACGTATTAGTGCCTAAGTAACTTTGGAGTAGTTAATTTAAATGTTTTTTTTTTCCTTGATTCCTTGTTTTCCGCGCTGGGCCCCAATGCTCCCACACCTGGACCCTAACTATCGACCCATCAGCTCATGAACCGGGGACCAACGGCTTTACTTCCCTTCCGAAGGATGGCGTGATCCGAGATGTTATGCCTCAGAACATCCCGACGGTGCCGACTGGGATTGAACCCAGGCCTGCTGGGGTGAGAGATAATCACGCTTACCACTACACCACCGGCGCCGCTTTAGTTTAAATGCTGTTCTGCATCCTTTGAAACTTGCACCTGATTTTCATTAAGGTGGTATTACACTTAGCAAATCTATTCTTTTGTACTCACAATAAGTTAATGCAACGTAACGGTTATCAAAACAAATTATTTAAATTTCCTCTAAAGGAATAATCAATATGTACGTACTATAGAAAAATCTCATAGCTAATTGCCAATTTATGGGCGTTTCCATTAGTAACGAGAAGGGGACGGCCCTGGCGCAGTGGTTAACATGCATACCTCGCACGCCAAAGTCACGAGTTCAAATCTCATCCTCGGACAATTCACGAATGATCCAAGAGTGTAATAATAATAAAAAATAAAAAATAAAATTAAAATATCGAGAAATTTTAGATATAATAAATTTAATAACACTAATGGAATGAATACTCTGTACAAGGATCTATAAAACGCATATGCGTCGTCGAACATCCAATCAATAGCTTGCAATAACGAGTCGGGAAGTCCCAAAAGACACATTCTTATTACATGGGTATTTTGTTTCCAACGAGCTTTGATTGAGTGTGTATTTATAAAAAGAAGCGCACTTTCATCGTGGCTTCAATTGTCGGCAACACACTCAGGAATAAACTAGCCAATTCATTCACAGAACTGCACGCCGCTGCATTGCCAATCGGTTCAATTGAGTTTAAGCTACCTACTCATTAGTTTTTTCACATATTTGAATGTAGTACATGTGCATCAGGGACCGTAGCAACAACGGTCGCTACTACAATTAAGCAGTGCAAGTGGCGTGTTTTCATCGTTCTGCTTAAGTTAACTATGCGGAGAGCCACAGTTCATGTGAAAAATGATTACAAAACGGCATTTAGTTCGAAAAACAACAGCGACAGTCTCGGACGGAACCGGTCAAGACAATCCTGTGTACAGTAAGGTGAAAAAATAGTGAGAAGTGCAGTTGCAGTCTCGATGATTGACATCTAACCAAATTTGCTGAGACATCAGTATGAAGTTTTGCTGTGTTATCGTCACCTTACTGGCGGAGTTCTCCTTCCTCTATCTTACTAGTGCATGTGGCCCAAAATGTATTACAAAGTTCGATAATGGAATTGGTGTAGGCCTGCTGAGAGAAACGTTTAAGAAAAGATTATACTGTTCCTATTTGGGAATCCCGTACGTTCAACCACCAGTTGGAGAATTAAGATTCGAGGTATGTGTAGGTATGTAATCAAATTTATGTGAAAAGAATGTCAATAATATTGAAGGTATATGGTGTATGGTACTGAATGTGTCTATACTTTTTTGCTATCAAACTATTTATACTCAAATGGATATCGTTATACTAAGGCCTGTACTCGAAAAAAAAAATGCACCAGATAAAAGTGTTCGCCAAAAATTTATTTGAAGTCGAAGTATCTTGAAACTTTCATGGAATGAACTAAAGCATATGGATTATGTTTCGGCATAATTACTTTATTCATTTTCCTTTCTATCGCTGAAAGCCCGCACCTTTCCCTTAAGACCCCTCATTACATTTTGTGCAATGGTGGAGCCGACCTTTTTGGTCACTTTCATCAATTCTTTCTTCAACTCCAGCTCGTTCTTAAACACCTTGAACGATTTTCGAACTTTGGCCTTCATTATGGCCCAAAATCTTTCCACCGGACGAATCTCTGGGGGGGTTGGCGGTTTTTGGTTATTGTCTCTGTACCAATCCAACGTCGATCGCGCGTAATGGCATGATGCCAGGTCCGGCCAAAATAATGTCTCGCCTCCGTGGGACCGCAGAAAGGGCAACAGACGCTTCTGGAGGCACTCGGTGCGGTAAATTTCGCTGTTGATGGTACCCATTGTGATGTACGGTTTACTCAGTTTACCGCATTGGCATATGGCCTGCCAGAGCAAGTATTTTTTGGTGAATTTGTCCACTTTCTTCTTCCTTATGTCTTCCGGAACCTCAAATCTTGATTTGGCAACGTAGAACTCCAGCCCCGGTACCTGCTTTGCGTTTGCCTTGATGTAGGTTTCGTCATCCATAACCACACACATCGGTTTCGTTAACCACACTCTCACATACAGCTTCCTTGCGCGGGATTTGGCCGCCGTGTTTTGTTGATCACGCCGGTTCGGTGCCTTACGGACCTTGAATACACGAAGCCCAGCTCGTTTCATGGTTTGCTGAACGAACCAGGCGGCTACACTTTGCCTTCAAAGCCGCGTCGCGAATCGAAAGGTTCGGATTACGCTTGAAATAATCCAACACCTTCCGGGCCTTCACAGGGTCAGCTGTCTTCGATTTTCTTCCACTCGCCACTCGATCGTCTGGGACTCCTTGAACGATTTTACCACCCGAGACACAGTTGTATGGGTGATTCCCAGTTGTCTTCCGATCCATCTCATGGTCGCAGTCGGATTTTCCATGACGGCGCGTAAAATTCTCCGGCGATTTTCTTCTTGTTTCGATAACATCTCAATAACCACTGAACCGATTGTTATGAAATTTTGCACATGCAAACAATTCACTCCAAACTAGTTATACCCCGATTTTCATCAATTTTTACCCACGGATAAAAAAGTTACACACGGATAAAAATAGTGCATTTTTTTCGAGTACAAGCCTTAGAATTAAATGTATGTTTGGTTTTACAATCATATCTCAGTATTTTAGAAACAACCGAGATGGAAATAAACTGATGTATGTACTAGGAAAGTATACGTCATATTAACCTCGTTTTTTTTTTTCTATGGAATTTGACCGATTGGGGTGGTTTGATTACAAAATAAAACCGTAACAAAGCCACCAAAATCTGTCAAATTCCTAAGGGAAAAGTAAGGTTAACATATGTTGTGCACATGCCTACAGACTGATCTAAAATATACATACCATAGATTCCATACATAAGCAGTCCTTAGTGGCATCCGTGAAAAAATTTCATGCCATCAAAGAGCTCTTCGTTGTGCAGTTTTGTTTTGTATCGAGCGCAAAAGTTCAAAATTAAGTGTAATGCAAATCTTTGCAACAATGAATCGAGGAACGGTTTGCGTTATATTACCTTCTTCCGTTTTAAGCGAAATAAATCGAAATGTGGAGTGTGGAAAGCGTCTTGTGCTCATAATATTACTCGTTGGTACACTAATTGACAGCTCGTTTGGCTACATTCTACTTTGCCTCCGCTTATCTATGGAATGTATAGTATCTATAATCTAAAAGGCTAGACCGTAGGAAGTGACCGAGTAAAACCCTGGCAGAAAGACCCAGGTAGCACACATGCAATCAAGCTGAACAATGCTTTAGGTCCTAAGTAACATTGACAGATTCTCTTCGTCGACTTTCTCTTTGCATCCTCACTGCCATGCTTAAAAATTCCCAGCTATTTTTAGCTCACAGATCGATGAAAGAAGCTATAATCTATTTTATAATATGACAAACACGACTTGAAATGGTTCTGTACCCAAGTTATTAACGAAACAGATAGTCGATGACGATAATCGATCAATGTTGCTTAGGACCTAATGCATTGTTCAGCTTGAAATGCAGTTTTCGATTAATTTTAGAATAGGTCCTTTTTTCGATCAAAAAATTTTGCTTTCTACCGTGTCCAGAGCGGTATTTTCGAAATATTTATGGAGAAGATGTACCAGTCATGGCTATAGGTTCCTAATACGGTGTGTTTCAATTATGGACCTATGGAATTCTCATATGTCATCTTGGAACCCCATGACAGTACACAATCTTTTTTTTTTTTTTATTAATTACTTTATTTGTACAGGCTCAATCGAATAAACTTTACAGAGCCGAGTTATCATTTTTGTTATACATTATTGATTTCTTATATTTAAAGTTAAAGGAGCTGGACCGGATACTCGCGGTTGTCTCGAGGTTAGTGGGGGGGATTCACAATTTTTTTGGATGGGAAAAGGGAGAGGGAGGTTTGAAATGTGGTTTACGATACAAATATTTAATTAATCCTAAAACATGAACTAATTTCTATTCATCTTGAAAACAAACATAAAAACAAACCCACACGTACAAAATACAAACTAAACACAAGGTTAATAAAACTTACAATCTAATGTTAATATTCTTAAAGTAAACATATATGAGTTTCATAAACTCCAGATCGCGTCTAGCCAAAACATCCCGAACTGGAACATTAGGTTGTCTACCTCGAGCCCGAAGGGAATCATACAGTTCAAATCTGACTCCGCGATGCTCAGCACAAGACCAAATAATGTGATCTGCGTCCTGGTAGTACACAATCTTAAGGGGAAGTTTACCGATCCGAAAAAAGTGTGAAACATTGGAAAAAGATATTAAAAATCTTTTCTTCTTTTTTTAATTAATGGGCAAAGACATTTTTTATAAGCCATAATGGCACAAAGTTGAACTCAAAATTCCAACAAACATCGACTTTTTGGTTTGACGAGGGTTCAATTTATTTTGATGATGATGATGGTCCCACCTTTTACTCCTACAAAGATTTGAGATGCAATCAACATCGAACTGGTTACAGTTACAGATATAAATTCCCTCTAGAGTTTACAGTTGCTTCACAACGATATAAATGTGGAAAAGCTCAGGCGTCCACCTCTTAGTTCGCCTTTTTGTCCACCTAAAATATTCACAAGTATTACAAGCAATCAAGAGTTAATGAACAATCAACAAAGCATCCTATTACACTAGCAATCCCGCAATCTGATGCTATCATAATTTTCAGAAATGACAGGAATGCTCACGAACCCCAGAAATTTGGCAGAAAACTTACTACTTACTTTAAGGTATCTTCCAAATAAGCTTCAAAACTGTATTTTTTTTATCAAATTTTAAATTCACTCCTCTATATCCGTAACACGCGCGCGAGGCTCAAACCTTTGTAGACTACTTTTATTAAATCAAATATTAAAAATCCATCATCACCATCGTGGGAAACAGAAATAGTTTTTGCAGTGCTACAATAATTATTAAAAAGTCGTCCAGCAATCCATACAAAATAATCCGTTAGAGATAACTTCTTCAAGATACATAATTTGTCAATTCATAAAAAAAAATAACTGGATAACTGTTCAATATACAGTTCAAACGCGTGAAATGCAGTGTCTTTTAAATTCTGTAAGTGTTGCTGAACGTTTTATATGTCTAGGCATCGTATTGAAAACATTTATTCCTTTATAATATAATGAATTTTGTGAATCACAAGTCAAGAAATGTGGTGATCTGATTTCAACCGCGTTTCTAGTATTATATCTATGAAAGTCACTTCCTCTTTCAAATCGATCACACAAATATCGAGGCAGAAAACCGTTAACTGCTTTAAAAATAAACACCAATGTCAAATATACAATTCTTTGCTTCACCAACAACCATTGTATGGCGTCTAACATCAAAGTTGAGGAAGTGAATCTATTACATCTAAGTATCAAACGCATTATTTTATTCTGCATGCGCTGTAATTTTCATATTTGTGTTTCATACTTCTTGGCAATGAGATAGAAATAATATTTTTACGTATAATTTTTTTCAAGTATCTAAGGAAAAAACTTATTTTCTTGGATTTCTGCTATTTTTAAATTTTTACAAATCCACCCCTTAGGTCGCACTACTTCTTCTTTTCTTTATTTAACCGACGGACATCGATTGCCATCCATTGACGGCAATCGAATGTGCAGGAAGGCAGCTTCCACACCTGCGTAGGATATCGCACCCATTCAAACACACATGAGCTGTGACCAACGGCTTTACTTCCCTTCCGAAGGAAGACGTGACCAGAGATTTTTATGCCTCAGAAAAATCCCACCGACCTCGGCTGGGATTGAACCCAGACCCATTGGGGTGAGAAAGCAGTCACGCTTACCACTACACCACCGACGCCAGCTATTACTTAGTTTCACATACTACACGGGAACCAATCTAATCTCCAAAATGAGATGACGCATGATTTGATGAACATAGCGTATTTTCATGTTATGAAAATACACCATGAACAATATCCATGATATCATTAGCTATGTTTGCGTAACGCACCCAAGATTCCCAAAATAATGAATCATCCGAGTTGAAATCATGAACTAAATTCATGAATTTAACTGTTAGCTTTTAAACCAAAATATGTAATAAAATAAAATAAAGCATCAGACTGGATTTGAACCAAGAACCTTACAATCATGAAACCAATACTTTGACCACTAGACTATCAGTACTTGTATAAGCTG